TATATTCCAAAATTCCTCATATATATATAAATGTTCATATATATATGTGAGATTCATAAAAAGCAAAATCATTTAACCATATATTTATATATATATCTTAGGCTATGAAAATCTACATACCCATTTTTTAGTTTAAGAGTTATACACATGGATATAGTAAGATTTAAAGATTCAAAAGTTTGTTTCTTTTATTTTTAGTAGTTATATATATATAGATATTTAAAGGTTGAGAAAAATATGAACTTCATATTTTAGTTTAGGTTTTATATATGTAAATACATACAAAAATCTGGAGATTTATAGTAAAATTTAAGTGTTAGATATGTAAATACAATGAAGATTTGTAAAATCTGAAATTTGGCATATGAGTTCAAATGTTAGACAAGTAAATGCATTAAAATTTTGTGAAATCTGAGAGTTTAGCATATAAATTCAAATGTTAGACATGTAAATACAACAACAAATTCAGAAAACCTAAAACTTAATGTAAATACTCAAGTGCTTATGAAAACTGTATTATTATTTCAAAGTTTAGGTATCATATATATGAACACATTAGGAATTGTAAAATATATAAGTTCATTTTTTTAGTTTACATATTATATATATATCAAAACATATGAATATATATATATATAACTTAATTGTAATATATATATATATATATATATATATATATATGCATATGCATTGGAATGAGGAATCTAGAATCCTATATTTAGGTATCATACATGTTACTACATAAGAATCAAGGAAAGCAGCAAAACTATATTTAATTTCCTTAAGATGATTCAAGTAGAGCCAATTTTTTATTAGGCAACTTCTCAAGACTTCTCAAGCTTCTTCTCAAGCTTCTCCAAACATACTTTCTCTTTTTGCTTTTCTTTAAACACATAAGAACGAGAAAACTTGCACGCATGTGTGTAAAATTTAAGTATTATACATGTAAATACGATAAAAAAGTCGGAAACTTGTAACAAATGTATAAGTTTAAGTATTAGATATATAAATGAAATGAAAACTTGAAAATTTTGAGATCTGGCATATGAGTGCAAGTATTATGCATGTAAATACATAATGTTCATAAAGTCCTGTAATTTAATGTATGTAAATGAAATAACAAAACTTACAAGATCCGATATTCAGCTTAATTGCTTTGAAACGTTATCATGTAAACATATAAAGATTTACAAAAATTTGCATATATACATTTATACAAGTGTGAGCATATAAGAGATTACAAAATCTGCACACATGTACTAAAATTTACTTATGATGCATATAAACACGTAAAGATTAAGAAAAATCAGTAACACATATACACATTTAGATATTACACAAGTAAACACGAAAGGATTTAGGAAATCTGCATATATACTTACGTTTTAAGTATTATGAGGATAAAGAAACAAAAATCTGGATATATATACATTTGTTTTAAGTGTTATATATGTAACTACAAAAAGATTTGGGAATAAATAGCAGACATACATTTTGAAACTGAATTATTAAATACGCAAATGCTTAAGGATTTGGAAAATCATAAAACATATATTTAAATTTAGGTGTTATACATGTAAGTGCTTTAAAATTTAGAGACTATAATTTAGCATTTGAAATTAGGTATTGGAAATGCAAATACATTGAGAAATCTGAGTAGAAACATTCAAATTAGATGCTATATATGTAGATATATTAAAAATATGAAACTTATACACTTCAATTAAATGTTATATATATATATATATATGCATACCTTGAAATAAAAAAACTATATATTTGAATTTCGTTTCATGTATGTAAATATATCGAGATTGAAAGAAGACTAAAGTTTAATACTTCAATTTAGGTGTTATGTGTGTAAATATATAAATATTTGGATAATTTGAAGTTTAATATTTCAATATGTAAATGCTTTAGGAATTGACCAATTTATATTCTTATTTTAAAGTTCTAGATGCTAGGTATTTAAATAGATTAGGATTTAAAAAATTTGTAACTTAACATTTGAAATTAAGTGTTATATATGTAAATATATTGAAAATCTGAAACTTATACATTTCAATTAAATGTTATATATGTATATAATTTGAAAATCTGAAACTAGTCAAACCTTCATTTGGAATTTAAGCATAACGCATGTAAATACTTCAGGATTAAGAAAAAACACCAAATCTTCATTTGAAAATTAAATATAACACATGTAAATACATCATGATTAGAAAAACAACAAAACTTCATTTGCAATATAAGTATAACACATGTAAATATTTAAGGATTAAGAAAATATGCACATATTTTCAGTTTAGGAGTTATATATGTAAATAAATCAAAATATAAAGAATTAACATGTATATTTCAGATTTTAATTGTTTCACGTATAAATATATTGAATGGTACGTTTGTAAGTCATCAAAAATCAGATATCATACATGTAAACACATAAGAATCAATGGTATGCATTTAAATCTCCCAAGTGCGAGTATGTTAAAAAGGTTTTGGGAAGAAGGGCAAAGATGAAAATGGGGTTTGTTGCTTTAGCTGCTTCAAATAGCTATTGAATCCGAACAACTAAATGTTTTTTTTGCTGTGAAACAGATATGAAAATTTGAGCAGGACCCAAACGAGAGTAACATGTATATGGAGAGAACGATTTCCACTTATATCAATACTAAAGGTAGTAAATCCTTTCAAATTTCCCTGTTTTCAGCTTTAAAGAATATTAAAAATCTGAATTTATAGTTTTGATTTCAGAAGCAAAACTGTTTGCAACTCTTTGTTTTGATGATGGGAAGAAGTGAAGAATGGAAGAAAGATAGGAAGCTTAGGAACAGATCTATGGAGGCCCAACTATCCAAAAGAAGAAAAGAATGGTTTTTGCTATCTAAAATTCAAAGAGTTTCAAGAATATTCTTGCTCTCGGTTTCGGCTTTATGAGAAGTCACAAAAGAAGGAATGCTAAAAGTTTCTTGAAAGTGGAATAGAAGATTTCTTGAAGGTAGAAGAGAAAATTGTAGAGAATTTACCAAAACTGTGAGGATAGTTCTTGAATGACTCTTAGAAGAAGTTAATCTGAAGAATAAGTCCTTCAGCTCTCGCATAATTTCAGCAATGCAACGAATTCCAGAAAATTTTCCTAGATCAAATTTTTTGACAGAATAAAGGATTGGAGGGAAAACAAGATCCAATTGAGAAATATGGGATTCAAATTTCAGCAGGTGGTTTCTCGAATCAATATCCAAAGATATCTATAGATGATTTCCTCTCCAAAAAAGGGAATATAGTTGCTTCGCTTCTAAAAACTGAAAACTCTCTCAGGTTTTCTATTCCTATCAGTTTTGGTCAAGAATGGACTTCTTAGATTCGATTTTAGCAATATAAGCGAATATGGAATGCGGGAAAAAAGAGAGTGAAAGTTAGAGAGGCATATGGAAGAAATTTAAGGAATGTTTGCTTTCCAAAAGAGGATCATGGCTGCTCCTATTCCAAAAACCGAGAACCTACAGATTTCCTTCTTTTTCATCTTAGTTTTGACAATGAATGAGTTGCAGTTCGAAAGGCCAAAATCACGAAGTCCTCACACCTAGTAAACCGTTTTCTAACTTATTTTGATGTAATGCAGCCCATTTACAGAAGCAACCCAGCATAATCACTCAAATCAAAGTTCACAACCAAGACATTCATCCATCGGAATCAGAAACATCGATCAACCATAATACTAAGTCGTAAATCAAAGGCAAGTAATTGAGAGAAAAGGGAAAACAAGAACACATAACTCACCGAAAGAAATCTAATACAGTAACGAGCACCGAGAGATAGAGAAGAGTTATGAATTGGAGAAAAAAAAGTACACGTGAATCATAAAAAAAAGATTCGATCTTCACATCATCAAAGACGATTACATATTACCTGCCCAAAACAATGAGTTTTGATTTACCTCGGATGGTTCTTGCAGAGCTCAATCAGATGAAGAAGGAGAAAATCTTGCGAACCGAATGGAAGGAGAAGAAGGATCGGATGGAAGAAGGAGAAGCTTCTGGTCACTCTCGGAGGAGAGAAAATATTGGACTCAGCACGCGTGGAGTCTTTTTTTTTTATTTTATCGAGGCGTCAGGTGTTATTGATATTATTATATTGATGTATCAATATAATAATATTGATACATATTCTTAGAATATCGAAAATATTGAGGCATCAGTATCTTCATATTGATGTATTATTATATTATTATAATATCGAAAATATTTTTAGAACATAATAACATCTGAATAATATATAATAACATCTGAATAATATGGAATAACACCGGAGAATATTCTCTCGTGTTATCGAACCGATTTTTTTTTGTCACCTTCAAATGGCATGATTTCATTGGACTCCGCACGTAACACTACGTGCGGAGTGGTGATACAACATTTCTTTCCTCGAAAGAAGAGTGGACGGCAGCAGACAGGATCCGAAAATAAGGAATGGGCTTCGAGGGGTTTAGGGTACGTTTGGTGCTATTTCTTTAATTAATTTGGTCCCATGGCTCGTGTTCCTTCCAATAAAAGTTACCCTGCTGCCCTTGTCTTTCTCGAGTCTTATCTGCCTTTGTGAACCGAGCTCTTATTACATCTGGACTCCGCACGCAGAGTTGCGAGCAGAGTCCAATTAACATTCGCCACGTGGAATTGTGCGGTCATTCGAAAGAGAATGCAAAATAAATGAATTAAGAAGGCACGACCCGACCCGACTGAAACTCGATTCTAGTCCAATAAGCGAGAATGTTCGATGTTAATCCCGCCAAAAGTTTTTTGTCGCATTTTTTAGTTGTCACCAGTCCAGAAAAGTGCATTTTGTCGCTCTAGGTTTTCTTTGCGTTGGGTTCTGAACTGGTGCGATCGATTTCTCTGTAGACGAAGAAATATTGCTCATTAAATCTGAAAATAATGGCAGCTAACTTCAATCAAAAGTGAATTTACTTTAGTTTTATTTTGATTTGAGTTTTGCATTGTTGTGTTATGTTGGTTTAGTTGATTTTTGTTAGGTGTTTTTTGGATTTATGATTTAGTATTTTGGTGTTATAGTTTAGGGTTTGTATTGTCCTAGTTGTGTTGTTATTTTATTATTGTCGTATTAATGATGTATTATTGTCGTGTTATTATTGTGTTATGTGATTTAATATTTAGTTTTTCTAGTGTTATTGTGATTTTATTGTTATGGTATAAGGTCTAGGGATTGCATTATTTTGGTAGTCTGATTGTTTAGAAATTTGTATTATTTTAGTAGTGTTATAATTGTATTATTGTTGTATTAATAACGTGTTATTCTTGTCTTATTGAGGTGTTATGTGATGTTATTGTTTAGTTTTCCAATGTTATTGTCTTATTATTGTTATGGTTTAGTGTCTAGGGATTGTATTGTTCTAGTGGTGTGAGATATTTAGAAATTTGGTTTAATTTAGTAGTATTATAATTGTATTATTGTTGTATTACCAACGTGTTATTCTCGTATTTTTGAGGTGTTATGTGATGTTTTTGTTTAGTTTTCTAGTGTTATTGTGGTATTATTGTTAAGGTTTAGTTTCTAGGAAATGTATTGTTCTAGTGGTGTTATTGTTATGTTGTGGTAGTAATATTGTTATATTGTAGTTGTACTATTGTCGTAATATTATTATTTTATTGAGGTATTATTGTTGTGTTATTGTTATTTTATTGTTGTATTATGGTTGTGTTATACCTATTTGACCATCGTTAAGTTGGTGTGGTAATGTGTAGTGTGGAAATATGTGCAATGATCTAATTGCAGAAACGTTTCTTCCCGCCAAGAAGCTTATGAAAGTTATTATGTATATGCTCAGCATGTAGGATTTTCTGTTGGGATGGACCATAACAGCTATTGGCAAAACTCTAAGAAGACTAAAACCAAATATTTTATTGCGGAAAGGCTGGCGAGAAGGAGTCAAACCCGACAGATATTGTGATGTTCAGAAAAGCTGACACAAGAATTGGATGTCAAGCCATGGCTAGATATGCCATTGATGTTAAAGGGAATTGGAAAATGAAGAAATTCATTGAATATCATAACCACCCTCTTGCCTAAAGTGAAGATAAGCATCTTCTGCGTTCTAGCAGAAAAAATAAGTGAGTTAAATGCAGATTTACTAAGATCAATGACTGGATCAGGGATTCGAGCAACAGATGCATATAACTTTATGGCCACAGAGGTTGGGGTGGAGAACCTTGAATGTACGAAGAGAGATGCATATAATTTATTCAACGAGAGAGAAGGGAAAGCATAGAACAAGCAGACGCCAATTCTCTAATTTAGTTTTTTATGGAGATGCAAATTAAGGATACCATGTTTTCCTGGGATTTTGAAATCGACGGTTTGTAAGACTCGAAAGCTTTATTTGGAGCGACGGGTTATCCAAGCTTGATTATGATTGCTTTAGGGATGTAATAATATTTGAAACAAGCTTTAGATTAAATAAGTACAATTTATGTTGTGCTCCTTTCATGGGGGTGAACCACCATTGGCAAAACATCCTCTTTGGAGTGGGTCCTTTTTTGTCTGATGAGACCATTGATTCTTTCTTTTGGTTATTCAAAGCATTTATCTGAATAATGGGTGACAAGCATCCAACGACAATTTTCATGAATCAGGATCAAGCGATGGCGCGAGCCATTGAAGTTTTTCTTCCACAAACACAACATAGATTATGCCACTGACATATATACAAGAAATTTCCTTCAAAAGTTCGTTATGTTGTTCGTGTCAAAAGTGTGGGCGATCTCTTCTACAAATGCATGAGCAAGTGTGATTCCGAAAAGGATTTCGAAGAAACATGGGCCACAATGATTGAGAAGGGGAACCTACATAACAACATGTGGTTAAATGATATGTACAACATCAGACATAAATGATCGAGGACATTCAATAAAGAAATATTTAGAATTGGAATATTGTCAACACAAAGAAGTGAATCAACCAATAATATTTCTCACATCATTGTAAAGCCCACTAGTTCTCTCGTTGAATGTTTCGTTGGTCCAAAAATATAATGAAATCATGGCGTCAAAATGAAAAGGATGAAGATTTTAAAAGTGATTAATTGGTCATTACACCCGTGGTTAAAGGCAACCCAACCTTTAGGCAAGCTGCCACATTTTATTCGAGAAAGCTTTAGTCAAAGTTCAAGCAAGAGCTATTGGATGGGCTATGTGGACTTACAATTGAATGCTTTCCAGATAATGACTCAGAATATTATGTAAGGAATTTGGATACTCAAGGGACAAACAAGTACTGGATTGTGAAACTTGACAAAGTCAATTCTAAGGTCACTTGTAGTTGCAAAAAGATTGAATGATGGAGATATTATTTTCTCACTCTCTTTATGTGCTTAAAGTGGCTCAAATAAAGCAAATTCCCAAAAAATATTTGTTAATGCAATGGTCTGCTCAAGTTAAAAAGAACATGTATAACAAATTTGGTTATGAAGATATGAATGAATCCCACATGAACACTGGTTCTCCAAATGGTATAATATTTTGGTCACACACCCACAAGTTTGCATACTAACTCATTAATAAAGGAAATGAAACAACTGAGCAGATTATGTGTGAATCATTTAAACATCTGTCTGGAGATCTTGATGAGCACTAGCTGGAAAACAATCTCAAATAAATAATAAAACAAAAAAGAGAAAAACACCAAATACCCAATTCAATTTGAATGACCTAGCAAAGATGAGGCCTAAAGGAGTTTCTACATCTTGGTTGAAAGGGTATTAGGAGAAAAATAAGAGATCAAAAAGTAAATATTTCATTAAGCTGCGCTATTTTAATATATGCATTATTGATTTTCTCTAACCTAAACCACTACATGTAGGAAGAGAGCAAGAAGCATCAACAAGCCAACATCTCGATATTCATTGTGATGCAAATTTAATTGAAATGCCAGATTTTCTCAGTCAGGTAATTTAGTGGCATTAGCATTTGATTTTTATTCCACTTTTCTTTTTTTTATTCCACTTTTTGATTTCTCTATTATTGCAGGAATATGATGCATCTCAACCAACACAATGATATAAAAGATTGTTGATGGATTTGATAAGTGATTTATATTTATAATATTATTTTGTCAATGTAATTCAACAATAGTTCAGACATTTTCATATGATTCATTAATTTCGATGATAGTTAAATATAATCATTTTATAAAATATTTCGACAATTTCTTTAATTCAATGACTTATTGGTATTTAACTGTTTAAATAAATGTTTCTATGAGTGCTTCAGTGCTATGATTGGTAATTAAATGTTCCTTTTTCGAATATAACCTATTTAACACCTATACTCATCTCAATAACACCTCAAAATACTACAATAACACAATAATAATACGGAAAAAACACTTATAAACAATTATAAAATTATGAAATGTATATATTATTAATTAAATAAATTAGCTAAATAAGATTTATGAAATTATAAACTAAATAACACATCTAAAACACCTTGATTTTTATAAAAATGAGGTTAAAATTGCTACATAACACGTTATAGCAGCCCAAAAATGATCCAGGCGCGTTATACTGTCGTCCTATAACATAGGAGAATATTCCGTGTGTGTTATAACGTCGCTCCATATAAATCCACTATCGTGCACTATAACACATGGGGAATATTCCCCATGTGTTATATCGCCGCCTTATTACACCACCACCCCGCGGTATAACACATGGGGAATATTCCCCATGAGTTATAACGCAGTCCCGCGCTATAACACATGGGGGATATTCCCCATATGTTATATCGCCGCCCATAGCACCACTACACGCGGTATTATAACGCAGGCCTGTATTATAACACGGCCTTTGTTATATCATAAGCTACCCTAAAACACCACTACAAGTGGTATTATAATGCAGACCTACGCTATAATGCAATATTGACGCGTTATTTATTGAAATTAATGTATTATAGTTTAATTTAAACACTTTATTTTTAAAATCATCGTGTTATATGGCTATATTGATGCATTATTTTAAAATACAAGTGTTATGACGAATTATTGATACATTATTTAGAAAAATTCAATTTTTACACCGAAATA